ATATTTATTTATTTTTATTTATTACATTTATTTATTGTGTGTGTGTGTGTGGCCAGCTCAGCCCACCAGGGGGCGGGGCTGGCTGGCATGTGGTGCTGGAGGATTGAACCGTGGTCCTTGTGCTTTGCCAAGCTTGTTTCAAGTAGGTGCTTTAGACCACTGAGCCATCTCTCCAGCCCCAGTGGGTGGTTTTGAATACTCTAAGGGAAACAGCCCTGAGACTCAGAATGTCAGGTCTGAGCTGTGTTCACCTGTCTGGTAGACAGAGGGGTGCCAGGGACCTCGGGCTGGCAAGGTTTAATGCAACATTTTGGAAATATTCTGACAGCATTATAGAAGTGTGCAGAGAACACCCAGGAGGGCAAGGGCAGGAGATGAGAGGGTGGAGGGATTTGCAGAGGCCTGAATAGGCATCCTCAGGGTACTATGGTCTGTCAGCCTAGTGCTAGCCTGTCGACTGTTCAGTCAGCCTGGATGAGAGCGCTGATGGCAAGTTCATCAGTTCAGTCAGTGACACAACGTCAGGAGGGAGTGCCAGGACAATTGAGGCCAGAGTCAGCCTTCCTGAAACCCTGCCAGTGAGCAGAGCTGTGCCCTTAGCATCAAATAATGCACAGTATGTGCTAGGTGAGGACCAAGAGGGCAGCCCAGAGGATAGTGCTGGGGGAGGTTGTGTTGACCGAATACAGTAGGAGTTGGTAGTTTGATGAGGTTACAGAGAATAGATAATTTGATGGCAGTTTTAATAGAAAGGAAGTGTCTCGCATGAGAATGATCATATGGCCCCTGTGACCTGGCCTGGTTAAGCCTCATACTCATTTATTTCCACACAGAGCACTTTATTTCTGGACACAACACTCTAGTTTGACAAGCTACAATGAACCCAAGGAATGGAGGCTTGAATGGATGGATTTCAGAGCCTGGTCTTGAGCAGTTAAGAGCAGGGCCACCAGTCGTAGAAAAGAAGCTGTTGAGAAGACATGAAAGCAGCCTTCAAGATTCAAAAAGCTGTCATAGGAAGATGCATTTAGTTCCAGTGACTTGAAGGCCAGTGCTTTGAGAATCACTGAATGGCAGGTTGTACTCTGTAGAGCGGAGCTTCCACCCTGCAGCACAGCAAAGGCCTCGGGGTTTGTCGGCCTGGTCCTGCCTCACCACTGCCGAACCAAGACCCGTAGTGCCTGCAGCAGGAGTCAGGAGCCCTGCACACCCATGCTGAGGGCAGGACCCTTGCTCAGCAGGGGAACTGACCTGGTCAGAGGCGGTTGGATTCTGGGCCCAGGAAATAAGAAGCAGTTTTCTGTCACACCATTTTTATAGGAGAACAGAGAGACTTTAGTAGCAGCTATACTTTGGACACTTACTGCCTTCAATATAGTGACCTCATTGTTACTTACTCCCATTAAGATACTGAGGCTTAGAGATTAAATCATTTGCCCGCAGTCACCTAAACTCAAACCCGGAACCTGTGCAGTTTGGCACTCTGCCTCTTAGAGCATGCCCCTGACAGTCCCCAGTAGATTGAGTCCTGCCTTCCCAGGAGCCCCTCCCTGCCAGCCCCCAAACTCTCTTGCCTTCTCTTTGGGGAACTCTGGGAAAAAAACAGCCCAGCTGAAAAATTAGGCCATGCTGCTGAGCACACTACTTATTTTTTTATGACTAAGATTAAGCTGACAACCATGCAAAACATTGCAAACCTGTGTCGGCTGCAGATTTAATACCTCACCCAACCCACACAAATAATTCATGTTTCTGCATCAATGTCCAGAAAAAAACAAATCAGCAAAAAGCCAGGCTCCTGTGTGTGCGAGTGGCTGTGGTTCCACTGGAGCAGCATGCCGGAAATATCCAAGCTTCAGTACTGCACAGCTAGCGTTTTGCAATTTTTCTTCTCTTAAAAGATTACAGTACATTTTTTCAGATGATTGAAGGTTGGTGGGAAGTGTAAATGTGGGCACTTGTCACATTAATTCTTCAGATGATTAAGTTCTTTTCCATTTCTTTAAAGCTGTTTGCAGTTGGTTTGATGTCCTCTTTCTGGGTGAGTGTGTTGTGGCAGTTGCCAAGGTGACTTTAGCTGACTTTCAACAATTTATTTTTCCCTCCAGCCCAAGAGTTTCTAGGCTGTGAGTTGATTGTTCTCCACCCACCCACCCCACCTCCCACTGCACCGTCTCAGCGTTGCCCCACTGTGTCTGAGAGGTTGGGACCCTGGCAGGCAGGCCCTGCCCACCAAGACTCGCAGCCCCTTGGGGAACATGGGCATGCCTGGTTGAGGGCCTACGGGGGTGGCACGGAGAAGTGACCATGAGAGCTTTTCCCCTTTGACTCCGGGAGAGCCCTACAGGTGTAGCTCTGTATCAAAGGCTTGCCTTGCATATGAGGACCTCCATTCCCAGCGCCTCAAAAAGTGTAAGTTAAAAAAAAAAAAAATTTAAAAACAAAAAGTATAAGTTGAAGAAAAGCAAAACCTGGCTCTTTGACCTTAGACTTGTCGCTCCACCTCATCTGTGAGGCCTACATTGGCTTGCTGTGCCGGCTTCGTGAGGGAACCTGTGGTCTTACACGAGACCTGGCACAGAGGAAGTGCTCAGCAAATGCAGGCTGCAGTTACTTCCTGTGTTCTGCTTTTGTTTGGGCCCCAAGGGACCCCTGTGTCTCCTCTGAGCCCTCCAGTAGGGCCTAGCCTAGAAGTAGGGTTCAGTGTTGTCCTGAGGCACAGCATACTTGATGGAGGAAAGAATTGGTCACAAGTCCAAGGTTCCCATGCCAGCCAGCCGTAGACCAGCTCTGTGGCCTTGGTTTCTTTGCTGTCCCTTTTCTGAAAAGAAAGAAGTAAATGAAATAACCTCTGCATTTGCTTCCAGTTCTCACAGACTATGACCCTCTTGACCATAATGTTTATCTTCTCTATAGGTCTTGGGAAAAGCCAGGGACAAACAGTGCCCAAGTCAGCTTTGAGCATCCAGAGAAAGGGACAGTTTTGTGAAAGAACAGTCAACTCTGGGTGGATCCTCACAGGGAAAACTCGTTGAGCAGAGTGTAACTGTCCCTTTACCTAGGGCCTTGCTGTCCAGCTCTGCCCACACCACCTTGCCTGGGCAGGGATGTGCGTGTGTACCACTCCACTGGCATAGCCCATCCTCATCCCCCCGTGTATGAGAAGCTTGGCTCTGCCCCTTGGGCAGCCCAGACATCCTGGGTGGCTCCTGCCTGTCACTGGAATGATGAACAACTAGAACTTCTCACCAGTATTTTGATGGACACTTGGGGAATTGGCCCGAGATTCACAGCCCAAACCAGAATCCGGCCTTTTGAGTGGGATCGGTGGGTGACCCTCATTTCCTGCCAAGGCAGATTTGAGAGGTTGTCAGTTGGGGCAGCTGAATTTGAAAAAGCAAATCTTAGCATGCAAAGGGCCCCTGTGGCCCAGCTACAGCACAAGCTGTTGGTGGGGGGCAGGGCAGGAGGGACCGTGAAGCTGCAGTGCTGGCTCACTGTGGCCGGGGTCACAGTGGAGAGGAGTCAGTACAAAGCTCCCAGCAGGCCCACTAATCTGACACCCAGCGACCACTTTCTCCCTCTATGGGAGGAGTGGTAGGGTGAACGGTGCCTGTGTGACTGCAGCACTCGCTGTGAGCAGGAGTAGACATGTGCGAAGCCTTTGCAGGTTGGCTGCACAGAGGCCCTTGGCGTTGGGTCTCAAGGTGCTCTCTCATGCCAGCCTTGGAAAACCAGGGTTTTGGGCTTTAGGGAAGGAGAAAACAAGGGCTTTGGGCAATCAGCAGATCACAGAAGCCACTTGGGCACAGACTGTAATGTTGGGTGCTGTGTGTGACACTGGAGGCTCTAGAGCCAGCCCTGATGAGAGGAACGCCAGCTCCAGCCCTCACTGGCTGTGGGACCTGCGTGAGTGGCTTGGCTTCCCTGCTCCCAGTTCCTTTCCTATAAAAGAAAAATGGCAGTAGGAGCGTACTGAGGAGTGGCAGCCAGTGAGTGTGCATGGTACATGACTGGCTGCAGTCAGCATGATGGGGCAGCATGGTTGTTAGTGGTCAGGAGCCCAACCCGACACGCCTGTCCTGCTCCTCTAGGTGCTCTTCACCAGACGCTGAACCCGTCCCTGTGCTCGCTTTCCAGGAGCCGCAAAGACAGCCTAGAAAGTGAGAGCTCCACAGCCATAATTCCCCATGAGCTGATCCGTACACGGCAACTCGAGAGCGTACATTTGAAATTCAACCAGGAGTCCGGAGCCCTCATTCCTCTCTGCCTGAGGTGAGCTGAGACCACCACTGTGCAGCTAGGCTGCAGGGACCGTTCACAGCTTCCTCTTTGCTCCTCTAGCAGCCACCAAACCTATGCTTGCCAGGCACCTGTGCCAGCCCACATACCTATGCAAGTCTGGGGCTAGCAGGGAAAACACTTGGGCCTGTGTGGGAGCCCAGGGAGCCCGAGAAGCCAGTGATCCCTGTGTCACGGGTCTGCAGTGTTCCTTCCATCATGCCTCCAGATAGCCAAGGTGTGGCAACGTCTCCAGCAGGGGGTATGGCCAGTGGGCTCTGGGACATGAAGTGGTCTCGGCATCTCTTAGCTCAGAGCAGCAACAGCCTCGATGGGCAAAGGACTTAGCCCAAGAACACCATGGGTCTTTATTCTGGCTAGATTGTGAGTCTAGAGGCCACAGGGAATAGATGCTAAGGAAAACTTCTTTGTTCAGGAATTGTCCTTTAGCCCCGCTCATCTGGGGGAGATTCAGTAACCAAGGGTGTCTCAGCTAACCCCTGCCATTCCATAAGCCTAGGGTCCCCAGTAGAAGTAGGCTGCCGGGAAGTGGTTCTAGGGAGTTGGGCTCTACTTGCTCTTGCTTGCTCTTTCCTGGAAGTGCTCCAGTCTTCACACATAGCAGCCAGTGCAGCTGACTCCTGGAGGGCCGGGAGAGGAGGCCCAGCCGCATCCCTCTGCTATTGCTCAGAGCTAGAAACACGGCTGTGAGGCCCGAAGTAAGCTGTCTACTCAGGGATGCTGCTTTGGGCTTACTCTTGGAACAGCACTGCATGGCTTCCCAGGCTTCCACCCTTATTGCTAGCAGAGGAAGCTGTAAGAATCCCTCGAAAGCTGGGCATGGTGGTGCACACCTGTAATCCCAGCTCCTAGGAGACTAAGGCAGGAAAACTGTGAGTTTAGAACCAGCCTGGAATACATACCAAGTTCAGGGCTGGCCTGGACTACCTTGCAAAACCCTGTCTCAAAGAAGTGCCAGACATGGGAATGCATACCTATGATTTCAGCATTCAGGAGGCTGAGGCTGGAGGATCGCCAGGCATTTGCAGCCAGCCTGGGCTATGTAATGAGTTCTCGGCCACCCTGGACTGTATATCAAGGCCCTGTCTCAAAAACAAAACACACAGAACAAACAAATGAAAGAAAACAAAAAAGGGAGAGAAGGAAAGAAAGGAGAGAAAAAGAGGGAAGGAATTACGCTAAATTCAGGATAGTGATAAGATGTGGTTATATAGTTTACTGGCCTCTGTTCCTGAAATTGGAAAAGCATTTGAAAGGTAACCAAAAAGAAAAAGAAAGGTAACCAGACATGGCCAGCTATCCCAGGATGCAACAGTAGGGCCGAGGCAGCAAGTGGCCAGGTCAGAGAGAATAGGCGCCAGCAGAGCCCAGCACCAGGATCCATCCATTTCCTTCCAGCTGCTCCTTGGTGCAGACTCGGGGCCTTGAAGGCTGGTGAAGGGCTATCTGGAGGTAGACTGAAGAAGCAGGCTTTGTTTGCTTCTCTTGCTCATTGGTATCCCTGCCTGCCCTAATTCTAGGTGTACTTCCAGAATGAGGATTTAAAGTCTTTTTGCTGTTCCTTCAGTGACCCCACTTGGCTTCGGATTTTTCTTCAAAACTCTGTTTGTGGCCTTTGGACTAGCCAATTAAATGTTACAGGGACTGGGGAGATGGCTCAGTGGAATAAGTGCTTCCCTGGCAAGCGCAAGGGCCTGAGTTCAATCCCCGGTTCTGCAAAAAAAAAAAAAAAAAGAATTAAATGTTACAGGCATAAGCGCCTGCCTGGCAAACACAAGGTCTCAAATTCAGTCCCCAGTACCGAAAATAAATAAATAAATAAATAAATAAATAAATAAATAAATAAAATGTTATAGGAGCACCTAGGTGCAGGTGAAAGATTCCGCCCTGGACACTGTACAGTGTCCTGCTGTGGAGGCACCACACTGCTGTTTGTGTGGGTACTGCTCCAGCCCCACCCCCAGAGGGGAAGGTGACTTCCTTCCTCCTGGGGCACGGCTCTGAGCATCATCACTGACTTCCCTCTCTGGCCTCAGGTTCCCCCCTCACCTGCAGGTGCGGGGCCTCCACCACCCTTCAGGGTTTGTGAGCTCTGCTCTAGAGTTGGCTCTGCTAGCTTTGAGCACTTCCAGAAGATGACATTAAAGGGCTAGTGACAGCTGCTTTTGCTTTTTTTTTTTTTTTTTCCTCTACTACTGGAGATTTAACACAGAGTCTTCAAATTAAGCTATATCCCCACCCCACCCCCTTAAAAAAATCATTTATTTATTTATTTGGTACAGGGTCTCACTGTGTAGCTTGGACTCATAGTGATACTCCTGCCTGAGCCTCCCCAGCACTGGGATTACAGGCATGTGCCACCACACCCGGTTTCAGTGGCCAGCACAGCATGAGGTACTAGGGATCAAACCCAGGTCCCTGTGCTTGCCAGGCAAGTACTTGGACAGCTGAGATATCTCCCCAGCTCCCATCCCTTTTTTATTTTATCTATTTATTTATTTACATACCGAGGATTGAACTCTGGACCTTGTGCTTGCCAAGCAGGTGCTTAAGCTGCTGAGCTATCTCCCCAGCCCTGTTTTTTAAAGTTTTTTTGTTTGGTTTGCTTTGATTTGTTTTTTTGTTTTGTTTTATTTTATTTTGTTTTGTTTGAGATAAGATCTCACTACGTAGTTCATGCTGGCCTTGAATTTACAGGATTCCCTTGCCTCAGCCTCCCAAGTGCTGGTATTACAGTAAGGTGTGTACCACCACAGCTGGGTCATAAATCTTTTATTTTCAATCAGGATTTATGGGTCACTTAAGTTTTCTCAGGTGGGCTCATACTTTTGATCCTTCTGCCTCTGTCTCCAGAGGGGATTACAGATGTGTGCCACCACACTCAGCTGGTGGCTTCCTTTCAAAGGTGCTACAATGAACATATTTGGCTGCAGCCTTGTTAGTGGGCAGGTGGGACACCAAGAAGGCATCTGTTAGGCACCCTACCTCAGGGAACACAGCTCAAGAGTCCCAGAGGCTTGGCCAGGCCTGCTGCACTTTGGGATATTCAAAGACCCAGTTCCTCACTGACTCCGTGTTCCTACCCCTAGGGGCAGGCTCCTGCATGGACGGCACTTTACCTATAAAAGTATCACAGGTGATATGGCCATCACGTTTGTCTCCACGGGAGTGGAAGGTGCTTTTGCCACGGAGGAGCATCCTTACGCAGCTCACGGACCCTGGTTGCAAGTGAGAAGGCCCCTTTTCTTGCCTACCTTCTTTCCACAGACTCTCTCCCACCCACCCACTGCCCCTCCCTGTGCAGCTCCTCGTGGTGCCCCTGCCCTGGAGGCTGGACTCAGGGCCTGAGGCTGTGCGTGCTCATGGAGTATGGAGCCTACTGCCTGTGCCAGTGGCTCCAGGGGTGCTTCCTGGCTCCTTCCCCTCACCCAAAGCACAGGGGACCACTTTTCTGGCTTGTGTGGTTCTGGTTCCTGGGGAAATTCAGGTATAGAACACTGGGGCTTTCCACATCCTAAGTAAATTGATGTACTGGAAACCAAGGTCGTAGAAGCCAGAGGAGCTATGGAAACCACTCTGTGGCAGCTGTCTGGGAATCTTAGAAGGCTGAGATGGGTGGGCTGCAGTGGCCAGAGGTGCCCCCACATACCCCACCCAGTCTAACAGCTCTGCTGTTCCTCCTGATGGAAGTCCAGCCTATTTGAGCAGAAGCCTGCTAGCTGGTCCCAGGCAGCTCAGCCTCAGAGCTAAAGCCAACACAGGGCTGGAGCTACAACACTTGGCCGCTTTCCAGCAACCCTCAACCCCCACATCCCCCTGTCCAGGTCTCTAAGGAATGCTCTGCCCTGATTGACTTCTTTTTGGTTTTTGGAGTCAGAGGAAGAACATTTTACCCTACCTCTCCCAGGAGTATCTAGAGAGGGGAATTTAGGGCCAAGGGTGTAGGAGAGCACTTGCCTAGCATGCAAAAGGCTCTGGGCTCAGCCCCCAGCGAAAGGGGGAATGGGCAGAGAGACAGACAAAGAGAAAAAGAAGGAAGGAGAAGGCAGGAAGGGAAGAAGGAGAGAAAAAGGAAAGAGGAACTTTTCAGCAAGGATGGGGTATGGGGAGATAGAGAAGAAAGAAAAAATGAGAAGAAAGAGGAAAGAGAAAGGGAGGGAGGGAGGAACAACAGAAAAAAAGGAAGGAAGGAAGGAAAGAAAACCCAATGCCAATTCAGAAGATGGCCCAGAAGAGAGCAGAAGAGAATTATGGTGTATGGAGAGGGTCATAATGGTTTTGAGAGTTTAACCCAAAATAGGGATCGGCAAAGCATATGTACTCATTTTGTTTTGAGAAAGGGTTTCACTGTGTAGTTAAAGCTGGCTTTGAGCTCACTGTGTAGCCCAGGCTGGCCTTGCACGCCCGCAGTGCTCCAGCCTCAGCCTCCGGAATGCTGGGTTACAGGTGTGCACAGCTCGCCCAGCCGAGCACTTACACTCCTGATAGAGACATGTTTGTCAGTGTGTGTCTGCTTGCAGAATTCTTTCTCCTTCAAGTCAGCCTCTTCCCTTCCACCAAAATCCTAACCCTTAATTAAAACAAACAGCAAACAAAGAACACCAGTCATGCTCCCCAGACTCAGCTGAGGTACAAGTGGAAGCTAGTGCTTTAGGGATATTGTGTTCCATAAATTATCTTGCGTTTTTCCACTGTTGTTATTACATTGTTTCATAACAAAATTACTTTGAACCATAAAGTTATAAATACATTTTAAAAGTCCCACTTGGTAACATTAGATTTCTGTCCACCAGGTTTGGTTGTTACTGTAGCAAAAGCTCTGAAATACAGCATTGGAATTAGCCCAGCCCAAGTGGAAATCCCCCTCCTCCCAACCCCAGCTGTGTCCTGGCTGTAGCCACCTCTGCTAAGAACAGGAGGGCACAGGCCTCTCCCCTGGCAGAACTGGTGGGGAGGCCTGTGCAGGAGACCCCAATTCCTGAGAATTCCGGGACATGGCACGGTGCTGATAGTTTTCAGCACAAGTGTTCTCCAGATTTTGTGCATTTGGAGGGAAGTAAGGCCTGGGGCCTCCCTAAACTCAAGAAGCCCATCCAGTTTTATGTCCCATCGTCAACTCTGAACTTGCCCTTAGAGTCTTACTGAACCCTGGGAGTGTCTCCCTGGCCTGAGAGGAGTGGTCGGCATTGTCGGTTTTCAGGCACCCCAGAACTGCAGGCCTAGAGGGCTCAGCAGAGGTTCTGTGGCCCCTCCGTCATCTGGAAGGAAGCATCTGAACCTCATAGAAAATCCCAACCTCCTGGTCCCCTGGCTCCTGGCATTCCTGACACCCTCCCTCCCTGGCAGCCCCTCAGTGAACTGGGGCACTTGGTACCCCCTAGGCTGTTGCCCAGGGAACCGTGGAGCAGTGGGAACGAGCCACTGGCCTCGGCATGTTTCAATAAAGTTGCTGTGCCGGGAGCTGCTTAATCAAAGGCCTGTGTTGTGGGCTCATTAGTGTGGTCCACCCCAGGCCTGCTCACAGGACTTTGGGGAAGGATACCAAGGCTCCTGTCCCCTATGTGTGCCCTCAATCACTGGGGTTTCTCGGGCTCTTTGCCAGGAGCTCTGGGAAACCCCACCTCCCCCAGCTGCCAGTCTCACCCCCTCAGCCCTCCCTGCAAGCAGTCAACAGTTTTGTTTTTCCCCCCATAATTTTATTGAGAAATAGCAATGAGACAGTTTCAAATCAAATTGGTAGGACAGTTCCAATAATTAACACATCACATACTCTCTTCCTAATGGTTATTTGCTGTACAAGGTGCGGACATGATATAGTCAGCAGTTCTTCATCTGCAGGCCAGTGTACCTTCCTTTTAGGGTCTAGCCTCTGTGGTCACAGGCGTCTCCCTAGCTTGTGGGAACCTGGGCTTGTAATGACTTGTGGGCTCCTAGGTCTCTTTTGGGCTGTGGCTGTCACCCTGTGAGTCTGCAGGATTCTTGGAGGCTAAGGTTAGACTTACAGTCAAGGTGGGGCCCACTCTGCCACAGCAGGAAGGCCCAGACCCCTCGGTGTGAACCCGACACAAAGGCATCTTTCACTTGTGCTGTGGGGCTGGCGGCGGCTCCTAGGGCTGTGTGCCCAAGCCTGTTTGAGGCAGAGGAGCAGGAAGGAGCCGAGTGGCAGACCCAGGATGTGGAGAAACCAAGACATGTGTTCTCTTGGCTGCTGCCTGAACTCTCCCTGTGAGTCCCAGCTGAAGCGGGAGAGGCAGGGAGGACTCGCCTGCATCAGCCTGGGAGGCCTCGCTCACAGCCTTGGCACTGCGCTCTGGCTTCCAGCCCAGACCTGTTATCTCCTGGTGGAAAGCAAGGCACAGACAGACACCCTGTGTGCGTGGGGGAAGAGCAACAGGAGAGGCTGAGAGGGAAAGGCAGCTTAGGGGCCGAGCCCCTTTCCAGAGCTTGAGGAATGGCCCCAGAGAGGACCCGCCCACCTTCTGCTGGGCTCTGGCCGGAGAGGCAAGATGGGTGTCCGGTAGACAGTCGTGCACTTGTGAGGACAAGCTTGGGCTGCAGGGGTGAGTGAGAGCAGCTCCAGCTCGACCCAGCTCACTTTCCCCATCCGCCCTACTTGTTGGGCCTGGAAACTCAGCCAGCTTGAGCACTGCTAGAGGGTCTCAGGATCCCGCTGAGGCCCTCTTCTGCCTGCTTCCCATGTCCTGAACTGCAAACTGCAGAGGCAGTCATCACTGGGTGTCAGTCTTGAGAGCTGAAGGGGAGGAGTCTGAAGCGCAGAGGTCACAGAGGGGTCACGTCACCATCCAGGAGGATATTTTCTTAGGCCCTGTTATGCTTTCTCGGCTGTATGGTGTCTTGACAGGACACCCAGGTAGCTGCCTCAGGCCTAGCACCCCTGAAAGGAGTCCCCAGGCTCAGGAGAAGATGCCCAGCAGCTGTCACAAATGGGATCTGTTGCTCCCAGCCAGGCTTGGAGGGGTCCTGGTGGGCTACGCTTAGCCTCCCGCCATGCCCAGCCACGTGGAACACTGTCTCGGGAGCGGGCAGCCCCTTCCACCATGGGCTTGGCCACACCATTGTCCCTGGAGACCTGTGCTTGGGCTGTCAGACCCCTCACTGTCCAGGGCTAGGCCTGTAAGATGGGAAGTCCAGCACTGTGTCCAAGGAAGGACGCTTCCTCCCTTGAAGGAGAGAGCTGTAACTCACCGCTGTGTCCCAGCAGCAAGCAGCTGGAGCAGGAGTCTCAGCCTACTCCTTTTTTTTTTTTTTATTTTTTATTTTTTTGCACGGTACCGGGGATTGAACTCAGGACCTTGCACTTGCCAGGCAAGCACTTATTCTACTGAGCCATCTCCCCAGCCCATTAGCCTACTCCTGTTCACCAAAGCCAACTTCTTGCCACTCGTTGAGAATAGGAAGTAAATGGGTAGACCTGTGGGAGGCCCCTGGAGCCCCTGCTGCCCACAAGCATGCAGCTCTGCCCCTCCCAGTGTGGTTGGGGCACCTTCGGGCTGCTGCCTGGCTTTTGTCTGGCCTGGGTGAGGAGAAGGGTTACAGTAGACAAGACTGCTTGCTTGCTGCTGCCCCTGCACTGCTCTTCTGGGTATCGGCATGGCACCTTGGCAGGCCTGGCCACTGTAAATAGTGTATTTCCTCCCCTGAGAGAAGGAAAGGGAGGGAAAAGAAAGCTCAGCTTGTTGGGAAGCAAGAACAGCATGTCAACACAAAGAGCAAACAGGCTCTGGACAAAGTGTGGATTGTCATACCGGGGGAAGGAGTGGGCATTGTCAGCCACTCAGAAGTATCGCTGACCACAGACACTGGAATTGGTGTCAGAGCTGCAGCAGCAAGGCCCCTGCCTGCAGCACAGCAGCCTGCCGTAGCAGGCACAGACGAAAGAGCGCTTTTCAGCTTCCTTCCTGGAACTTGTTGGGGCCTGGGGAATTGGGAAGCTGCTGACAGTCCTCCCTGACCACCGCCAGCCAGGCTGTCCTAAGGCACCCAGTGTGAGACTGATGGAATAATCTGCTAACCTAGATTCTAAGCCCCTTCTTGGTCAAAGGTGGGAGTGGGCGGGGAGCCCCTTGCTCCCCTACGGCTCAGCTAGTTCGAGGGTGGTGGAGCTGCGGCTCCCAACTGTGGGTGAAACCCATCCCCAAATTTCCTTGCTGTGGCCCTGCTCCTCTGACTTAGGAGCTTAGGTGTCCTCACCCCTCCATATTGCCTATGGCCTCAGGAGTGCACTGCTTAGCTGTGCTCAGGGCCTCTCTCACTAGAGGGTCTTCTCACTCCAAGGACTCTGTGCACAAATCTAAGCTTTTATGCTCTGCTTTTCAGGAATGCAGTTATCGTTGTCATTATTGTCATCATCTCTAGTGCTTACTTCTAGCCAAGAGGAACTAGTTTTGTTTTGTTTTGATTTAATAGAGGAATTATTGAAGTGAATGCACTCCTTAGGCGCTCCTTAGGAGTTTTCCTCACTGGCTGCACTTAACTGTCTTGGGGCATTACTTGCCACCCATTCCACATAGTCAGCTTGAGTGTTGAGGCTGTGTCTGTGACACTTGGGGCTTCCGTCCAGTTGAATTGAGCATGTGGCCCAGAGATGTGTGGCTGGTGGTTGCGATTGCTGGTTTTCCAGACTGTTGTCTGTAGAACCCAGGTCTATCTTTATCTCTCCCATCAGAGGAAAGAGAGAAGTCAGCCTTCGGCATACAGGCTTCTAGAGATACCTGTTACTTATCACCTCTCATTCTGGAGTCCTCTATGCTGTCCCCTCCCTTTCTGCAGTGGGAGCGTGAGGGCCACATCCCTTGCAGGACCTCCATAGGATTCTGTGAAATGACAATATCACTGTCATAGTCACTCCTGATTTCATTTGTGGCTGAGCCCATCCACTCCATAGGGTTCCAGTGAGCTTGAGGAGCCCCAGACCCCAGCCCTGCAGGCTTTCCCACAGCTGCACCACAACAGTGGGTCTGTTCCCTGCCAGTACTCCCAGGAGCTGCCCCATCAGAGCTGTCTATCTCCAGAGTCCTGTTGATAAGATCTGTTAACATTCTCAGCTCCAGATCTGAAATATACAAAGAACAAGGCCTGTTTGTTCAATCCAGGGTTCTAAGGTTTAACTCCCAAAGGAAATTAAGTTAGGTGCCTGGAGCTACGACAGTCTGTCGTATATCTTTGCAGAGAATGTCATCCTTAATATCATGCAGATCTCGTGTATAATTTTCCCATTTAATTTTTTAAAATAAAATAATGTGAGGTTTCCAGCAGAAAGAAGCAGATCACCAGAAGTGAAAATGGAGAAGTGACTAGAATTTCCCCCCATTTTGGGGTCTTGCCATCACTTCCCCCAGCTGAGTACAAAATAAGTCCACACAGATGGTGCCATACTTGGTGGTGGCTCTGTGGAAAGCTTCCACAACTCTTTCCAAGCACCAGTTCCAGACCTCTGTCAGAGCAACTGGCTTAGGACTAAGTGTTGGTGGCATTACCTTCCTGTCGTGGAAGAATAGCTCCCTGTGGTCCCCTGGTTGGCACAGGCCCTGCATACCTGCCCCAGCACTAGCTACAGTCCCAGACCACTTGCCACTCCCTAGCAGAAAGCCACTCTCTCCAAGTTACTTGTGGGTTCAGAGGGAGCACTCTGTGATAGATTGGTTTGAGGTGTGTTTGTGTTTGTACTAGCATTTGCAGGGATGACAGCAAGCCCTGGAAATGCCAGAAAGTATAAATGCAACGTTTGTGCTATGCAGGTAGACTGGTGATAACTGATTGAGAGTCTCTGGCCCTTTGGATACAAGAATTAGAGGGTCAAAGTGCAGGCCACTGAGGGCTGTGTCTGACCAGCTGAGGCTGAAGGCCAGGAAGATCTGGCCATTGCTGGGGGCCTGGAGAAGAGTGAGGGAGGTACTGGTGGGCAGTCTCCTTGGCTGGCTTTGTCCTCCAATGCTAAACCTCGCTCCTGTCTCCAGTTGAGGCCTGAACTCCTGGGACAGAAACTTTGCTGGGAGTGGTCTGCGCTGCTTGTGCCTACTGGAAGATGGTTGCTGTCGGCCAAGGGAGGGGCTGGCCTGCCAGGAAGTGGGCTGCTAGAATGCACACACGAGTGTGTGTCCTGGAGCTGAGTCCAAGGCTCAGAGGAAGCACTTAAGACTGTGAGTCCAGCCCAGATGTCGCTGGAATACGGCTTTGTTTGAGCCCTACAAACATGGCGGTATCTGTGCCTCAATTTTCTTGTCTATGAGAAGACCACAACAGCCCTGGTTGTGATGGTGATTTTCTGCCCAGGTGAGGATAGTTTTCTCATTTATCTCCCCAGCCATCAGCTTACTTCCTTTCGGAGCCACCCTGACCATGGCACGTATGAAAACTTCTGCTATCAGAGCAGGCCAACCCCCAGGGAAACCTGATGGATATTTCCCAAGTTCTTGGTCCCCACCCCTCCTACTGGAGGGTTTCACTCAGAGAAGTCCCTCTCCTTGGCCTCCCTGCCCCACTGACCCAGAGTCTGTTGGAGAGGGGGAGAGGCAGGGTGAGCCTGGGCCTGGGGAAGCCAGGAGGCCCTATGAGTGGGCCAGAGGACAGAGAGAGGATTCCAAATGAGGAAGACTCCAGACCAGGGCCTGAGGAGGTGTGGGTCTGGGATGACCCTAACCAAAGAGAGCTGGAGGAAAGACATCATTCCCACCAGCTCAGAACTCTGGCTGTGGTGTTTGTGCCAGCCAAAGAGTGAGTCCAGGCTACCTTTGACACCAGAGCATGAGGTGACAGGTGCAGACCACAGGAGCAGAAAGGGACACTGGAAGGAACCTAGAGGAAAGGCCTCTCTGGAGCCTTGAAGAGCCCAGTAGCAGGAAGGTGTGGCATCACATGTCTGTAGGCCCCGCACTTGGGAGGTAGGAGGACCACAAGCTCAAGGCCAAATGGGTCAGCAGGCTGGGATGGGACAGCCAGGCTGAAGGGCATTGGAGGAAGAAGTTAGATTCCCCACACCATCTGCAAAGTGAGAGGCTGGTCTACAGTCTCCACATTCTCCAGCTCAGACTTTCTGAGATGTATCTTCCGGGGCATTTCCAGACTCCAGACAGGGCTTATATCCCAAAGTCAGACAGATTCCTTTTGTCTGCCAAGTTGGGAGGGGGGTGCAGCCTATAATTCTGATGGGGCAAGGAGGACAGGGCAGCGGCTCCTTTCTGCCCTTGGCCTCAGGCAGGAGGCCTGAATAGGCAGATTTGTTCTGTGTTTTCCCCATCAATTTCCATCTCCCTTTTGGGCCCTGCCCTGCCCACCTCCAGATGTCCCCACAGCCGCTCCCCTCTCCTCTGACCTCCTCCTCCTCTGCCCCACTTTGGCAATGGCAGGCAGCAGTGGCGCTGAGAGCCACTGGGAGTGTGTCTAGGAAGTGGGCCTGATCAGCAGGCTCAGACCTCCTCCAGGGCCAGAAGAAGAGTCACAGCTTGGCAGTTGGTAAAGAAACCATTCATTTATAATAATATAATAATAATAATAATAATAATAATAATAATAATAATAATAATAAAGGTCCTCCATGCCTTATTTGTAGATTCTGTTGACTGAAGAGTTTGTAGAGAAAATGTTGGAAGACTTAGAAGATTTGACTTCTCCAGAGGAAGTAAGCCTGTTTGATTTCTCTGTCACGGTGGGCCGGTCTTCAGGAGCTCAGGCCTGCAACACGTGTCTGTGTCTGCAGGCTGCTTCCTGAGGTGTGGGGAGAGGCTGGAGAGGAGCCCTGAGAATGTTAAACAGCTTCACTTTTCCTGTGTCCATGGACCCCTGCTGTCCCTGCCCCACCTCCGCCCTGCTGGGGACACCAGCAAATTGTCTGACTTGCCCGCTCCTGAGAACCTCATTGAAGAGGCAGCCAGGGCATTCAGGCCAGTACAAGTTCTCCCCAGCCCCTGCTGTTCTCTGGCAGGTTCTGAACAGAAAGCCCATGTCTGCTGCCAGAAAACATTCCACGGGGGTGTTCTGCTGGGCAGCTAGGGCCCCAGGCCACCCAGGAGCCTCTCCTTTCCCTCCTTCTCCAGCCATAAGCTCTTCCCTTAGTCACCTCTTTCTGGCTAGTTTGGGGCCCGAGGAGCTGGCAGGCCAGGTAAGGTTATGCCTTCCCTTGGCTGCTTCTCTTGTGTACAGGAATGGATCCATAATCCCTTTTGTTTTTCTTCCTTGTTCCCAGCACCCTCATTTGTGGGGACTTACCTCATCCTGGAAAGTCCCTTCCCCTCCCCCGCCTCCTCCTAACCAGCACCCCAGTGGGACCTGAGCCTTGCTGGCCTCCATGCCCGATGGGTTAGTAGAACATTAGCAAGCAGCCCCGGCCTCTGGAGAGCTCCCTGGCCTCTCTCCTGAGGCAGAGACAGACCTTTCCTGTGCCCGCCTGCTGGGAAGCATGCTTCAGGGCGAGCGCTTCACCATCCAGGGCTCCCAGGGCTCCCTCAGGCAGGACATGGAAGCCCCCAGCGTGGAGGCTGCAGAGGGCGCTGGGGCTGGACTGTCCTGACCAGGAGCTGCTCGGAGCTAGTTACCCCAGGAGTCCAGGCTATCCGCCATCTTCTGGGGTACAGCTTGACGAATTCACTCCTGTACATTCCAGAATCATCACACATCTACTCCATGCTGGCCCACCTACCCCCAGGAGTCCCCAGGCTGTGAATCCCAGGTCCCCATTCACTCAGACCAACACCAGCTACCCCAAAGTGCCTCTGGAGAGTTCTTGTCATGCTAGGTGGCACTGCACCAGACTGCTGCTTTGAGTTTGGGTGCTGAGGGGGTGGCAGGGAGACAGGCCAGCGAGAGAGGGCCAGGAGCCAGTGGGAGTTTAGGAAAGTAGGTCACTAAAAATGACTTTTATTTTTTTGCTTTGCCTTCCTGTCCAGAGGCTGTCCCCGCAGCCTGCCCTGTTCTCTGCTTTGTCCTGGCCTGGCAAGTCCCCCTCCGAGGGAGGCCAGGGCAAGCCAGCCAGGAAGCGTCAGGAAGTGTCAGCCCTCCGGCCAGCTCCAGAGCCCAGGAGCCCAGTTCTTTCCATCCCACCCTGGCCTCACTTAGAGCCCAGCCCAAGACAGACCTGTGCTGGGGTATAGCTTGGTGACAGAGCCCTGGCCTAGTGTGCACTAGGCCCTGAGTTTGATCCCCAACCTTGCCAAAAATAAGTAAAGTAAGATGAAAGAGACCCAGTTTCCAGGCTCCAGCCTTAGTCCACATCCATAAGCACTTGAGGACCAGCCAGTGTGCCAAATGAGACGCAAGGGCTTAAAATCCAGAGGGAGGGCCAGGGAGATGGCTCAGTGCAATAAGTGCTTGCCTGGCAAGCGTAAGGGCCTAGTTCGATCCCTGGTATGGGGGGGGGGCACACATTTGTTGGGTCAGAGAGATGACCCAGTAGAATAAGTGCTTGCCTGGCAAGCATAAGGGCCTGACTTCAATCCCCAGTTCTGCAAAAAAAAAAAACCAGAGGGAGTGAATGCCAGCCTTCCCCCCACCATCCCCCAGTAACTACCCTATGAGTGAGAGAAGCCAAACTGAGAGCCAGCCAGTACTTCCTGGATGGAAGGCTTTGGGCTCTCCCGCCAGTGTGAGGCCTGTCCTGAGCTCGCAATCCCAGGAGCTGTGCTCCCTCAGAGCCCGTACCACTCCCAAGCCATGCTCAGCCTTCTCTGCCACTACCAAGGCCACAGTGCAGTCTGACTTGGAGGCCGAGAATAGATTCTGGGGCCTTTCCTACATCAGCCTTCAAAAGAGGCCGTGGCAGTGCAGTACAGACTTCAAGCCGCTTCCCTGTAGCATCCTGGCCCCCAGCCTTCAGCCCCAGGGCCTCAGGGAGCAGATTCCTTACATGCTTGTGGTCAGAGGCAGAGCCCAGGAAGTGAGCAGGAGGGAGGTCAGCACAGTAGAGAAGAAGCTGAAAGCACACATCCCGGCCTGGTCAGTGATCAGCAAGGCAAGAGGAACACAGCAGCCGCCCCCCCGCCTGGGCCATGCAGCCTGCAGCCCAGTGTCCAATAGCCTGTCTTGCCCCAAAGCTCAAGGGCGGACAGGGCCTTGGTGAGAGCCCTGCCTCTCTACGCTGTCGGGGACAGAGGCAGTGAATCTGCTAACCACGTGTGCGCTGGGTGTGTGCTTGCTCCCCCACAGTTCAAACTTCCCAAGGAGTACAGCTGGCCGGAAAAGAAGCTCAAAGTCTCCATCCTGCCCGATGTGGTGTTCGACAGTCCGCTGCACTAGCCTGGGCTGTGCCCTGCAGGGCCAAGGGGGGCTCAGGTGTGCCCGGTGACTTCCAGCGTAACAGCTGCAGAGAAAGACTCCCACAATAAAAGGACAAGTGTGAGGGTGACTGCACAGCTGCCACACCAGCAGCCCAGCGGTTCTCCTGCACGGGCCACTCGCCCCACCTTCCTGCCAGCTCCGAGGCCTCACCAAGCCAGTGCATGGGCATGTGCAGGCCCTTCCCGCTGCTGCCGCAGGTTCTGGCTTGAGGTTTGACTCTAGGCGAGTCTTGTCCCCGTGGTGGGGACAGGCCTGGTGCTCACCGGCCCCTGCCATGCAGCCTGGCTGCAGCGTGCTCACAGGGTGCGTTGCCCATCTAGACTCAGGCAAGCCTTTGCTAGTCAGGCTGCTTCTGCCACAGGGCAAGTCCTCCAATCATGTTTGGGTTTTTTTTATTTTATTTTGAAGAAACCGGATGGCGTTTTATTGCTCAGCAAAGATGTCCAGAAGCCATGTATATAATATTTTTTAAACTGAACCTTATTCCCAGATGAACTTTCTCATTCTCAGATAGGGACTTGGGCCTGTCTCCCTACCCAGCACCTCCAGAGCAGAATGCCTGGCACAGCTGCTTCCCAGAGCCAGTGCCCAGGAGGTTGGTGTGCGCGTTCTGTGCAGCCCTGCGCCCAATTCACCTGGGGCCACAAAAGAGCCCCTGCAAGGTCCAGGGTCCTTCCGGGGCTTGGGGGCCATAGCCTCATCTTCCAGGCCTTTTCCAGCCAGGCAGACCTTCCAGAAGCACCCTAAACCACCCCCACTTGCTACTCAAGGCCTGGACCCACATCACTTTGACCACCCTTCTTTCTTTCCCTCATTCCCTGGGCTTCCCAAGATGCGGGACTCTGGCTAATTAAAACCTAAAGAATCACCTTCTCCTTATCTCTTTCACTTTGATTTTGCTGACACTGCTCTCCGCCTCCGTCCTTCCATCCTTTTCTCATCTTTCATTCTATTCCTTGTCCTGTTCCTATCCTGCATCCTGGCCTCCTGTCAGTGGTCCCTCCCCTAGTACTTCCGGCTCACAGTCTGCCTTCCAGAAGCCAGCCCATGGTTCAGGGTTCCTCCTGAGGTACCTCCTGCTGCTGATCTGAGATCAGCAAGCTCCTACCTTCCCAATCAGCCCCTACTCCAGGGACTGCTACTACTACAAGCAAGGTCACTTTGTCAGAGGCAAGCAGGGCTCCCCCAGCCCTGGCCTGCCTCCACCACACTGAGGCACCACTGGGGTGCCCATAAGGTACAGGTTCTCTCCAAAGAGAGATACAGCCAAAGGCCCACAAGGGAGCAGTGTCAAACCTCCAAGGCCCACTGGGCTTGGCCCTGTCTACACACCCCAGGGCTGTCTGTGAACTCTGTCACACTCAGTGTTTCAGGGCAGATCAACCGGTGACATATGAGGGGTACTACTCCCAAGTCCTGCCAGCCAAGCTCCAGTCCTCTCTGGACCTGATATCAAGGACTTTTCCAGAAGGTTGCTTATTAGCCTTTGCTCACATGGCAACCCTGCCTTTGTTCTGACATTCATTCCGTGGACAGAGAGATGCATCAGCTTGCCTCCATTCCTTGCTATTCTAACCAGCTTCTCCATGAATTCTTCCTTCTCGCAGCCCTGCCTGAGGGTCCCTGTTGCAGGTTGCCTGCCTGCATCTGCCTGGCTTGGGAGAGGGTAAACTTTGTCATCAGTCTGTAAGGCATCCACGAAATAATTTGCTCCAGGCCTGGAGGGTTGGCACCACTAGTGTGGTGGCCCTGGGCTAGGGAGCAGGGGATTGCAGGAAGAAGCAGAGAGGCTCTGAGAGGAAGAACCCAGGAAGTCTGGGACCCTTCTTGCCCACCACCTTGCTGGAAACCTCGTGCACATCCATGATCCTGCAGGGGCCAAGCCCTGTCCTTCCCCTCCAGCACACTGGCTTGAGGAGAACAGCAGATCCTTGGCTCCCTTCCCTAGGACTCCAGTGAGGTTTCCCAGCGAAGGTGCTCCACCGAGCTGCAGGTTTGTGAGAAGGGCCCTAAGGACCCCAAGCTGTACCCAGCATGGCTCCTGACAGCTCTGTGGGGCCCCTGACCTCATGTGGGTGAGGTTGGGATCCTCCCTGTCTGCCTCTTCTCCAGTCTTTCTGCACACTTGCCCAGTCATTCCCATCCCACCAAGCCCTGATAGCAGCTGAAGCTTCTGAGCAGGGGCTTTGCCCCGCAGGCTGTGATCTGTGATCCAAAGCAGATTTCTGGGTGCCCAGGGCCACTGTGGGCTATGAGGATGCTGCTTGGAAGGGCTGGAGGCTCCCACAAGGCTGGGTCTGCTGGTTCTGTGCCCATATTCCCCTCCCAATACAAGGGGCAGGGGCAGGAGCTAGAGCATTCTGCAAAGCAGACCTGAGGGCTTGGCACAGGGTTTTGCAACTGAGAATGGAGAAAACCTGAAGGTCAGGGCCCCTATGGGGCAGAGAATTCCCAGGACTATTTTTAATCTGGTCTTCCCTTTCTGCCTTCCGGGACCTCCATGCCAGGTCAGGGGCCGGGTCCCTGTTACAAGTCAGGAGCCCTGTAGGAAGACCTCTTCCTTTTGTATCAGTAGCTGAATGCTGCAGTGAGCAGACTTTTGTAAAATTTTCTATTAGTTTTTAATGTCAGTGGCGACTCAGTTCCTGGGGCTTCAGCCAGCCTGGGACTTTTGTAAGAATTTTTGAGTGACTCACTTAGATGTCATTCCGCTGCCCCTCTCCTGTGGTGTAATCTAAGTACATTAAATGTATTTGCAGAAGTACCTGGGTCGTGTGCTCCTTTCTGGCTGCCTGCACTAGGGGAGCAGCTGCTTAGAAAGCAGGACTGGGTGGCCCAAGAGTGTTGTTGGGAATGCAGGGGCTGCCAGGGCACAGGGTCACATAGCTGGTGACTCATAGCTGGTTGAGCAGAAATGACTGCCGGGACCTCCATTCCTCTAAGGTCTGGGGGAGGGCCAGGCCCTTGGGGGAAGAGTGAGTGGGCGTGTACAGACCCTCTACCCAGACCCCAAGGTGAGGGAAGCAGCCTTTCTCACCTCTAGTTTGGGAGTCCCCTTTCAGCCAGCTGTTCCTCCCTCTTAGGACCAGGAGGAAGGGGATGGGAGGCAGGATGGGAGTCCTCCTTCCCTGGCTGCCTGGTGGCTCCAAGAACCAATGCTGGGGCCAGGGAGACAGCTCAGTAGATAAGCTCTTGCCTGGCAAGTACAAGGTCCCGAGTTCAATCCCTGGTACCAAAAAAAAAAAAAAAAGCCAATGCTGGGGAACTCAAGAGGCAGCAGCTGGGGCAGGAGGCAGAAGCGGGCTTCTGCCACCAGACACCTCCAGGACCTGTGGTACCACCACCCGTGGGGCCCACATTCTTTCCCATCCTGCTGGGCTCGGTTCTCTGTCCCAGAGTGGTGGGGCCTCTTCTTGTCTTCGCAGGAGGCTGGAAGAGGGGCTACCAGCCCCGCACAGGGTCTCTGCCCTTTTCCAACCTCTGCAAGATGGTTTTGCCCTTTACCGAGTGGAATCCTTCCACAGTGACCTCCTGCTGAACTCTGGCCAAGGCTGGCCCTGGAGCAGTGCGCTAGGTCCTTCCTGCTGGCCCTCAAGGGTGGGTAGAACAGTCCGGCAACCCCAGGCCAAGCCCCTCCCTGTGCTGCCTGGAGGCATGGGGGGGGGGGTATGGTGGTTATCTCACCCTATTTTTTTTTATTTCCTTTGAGATAGACTCACTATCCAGGCTGAGCTTGAACTCATGATACAGTCCAGGCTGGCCTCAAACTCCACACCTGAGTGCTCCGGCTCCAGGCATGTCCTTTTTGGACTCTAGCCTGCAAAGACCCAGGGTCAGTGCACTAGAGAGCTCCAGAGAATGCAGAATAGCAAGACCCTGTGCTTGGGTGGTTTGGGGAGATAGTGCCAGGCAGGGGTAGTTTCCAGAAAAAGGATTCCTGGCCTAGACCAGAGCTCTAGATGAGACTTCATCCTAGACTGAGGAAGGGGAGAAATCAGCCATCTGTCTTCTGAGGTCTCTCCCAGAAAGGCCAGCACACTCGTGGCTGTTGTGCCTCACCTGGAGGATCAGGGGCTCTGGGGACAGGGCTGCTGAGCAGTTTGCCAAGGCGAGCTGGATCCTGCCAGGCACTGGGGCTGGTGCGGGCCAGGCGAGGAAGGCGATAGGGATGCCAGGGTGAGGGAGAGAGCTGTGTCCCCACACTGCAGGACAGGGCCAGGCAGGATGTGGCTGTGGGGGGAGGGTATCCCTGGTTTGTGTGAGCAGAGTTCTGAATGCCTTGGGTGATGGGCGGAGGCCACAGGCAGCAGCCTTCTAGGAGCACAGAGCAGGCTCCCTGCCAGTTTGGTGTGCCCCCTCTAGCCTGCACCCCACCCCACTCCCATGATGCCTTCTATGCACTCTGGGAGCGAATGCAAGGACCGGAAACTCCATTCTCCCTAAAACTATGTGCCAGAACATTTCTATGCCAGGGGACAGACACAGCCCCGCCTGAGCACCAAAGGGCCAGGGAAACAGCCAGGAAGAGGAAGGCAGGAGAGCGCTTTCTGTCCCGCTCCCACTCCAGCACTGATGCACCAGCGTGGCTTCCCCAGACTAGCTGACCTGGGCTGCAAATGCCTTCATCTGCAGCAAGTGTGTCTCACAGCTTTATGTGAGGTAACACCCGTGACTCCCCTGACACCATTCTTCATCCTTTTGTTTTTGAGACAGGGTCTTGTAATGCAGTTCAGGCTGGCCTTGAACTCATGGTGATCCTTCTGCCTTGGCCTCCCAAGTTAGTATCTTGAAAGGGAGAATGGAGGCGAAGTGACTGGTCCGACCTGGATGAACCAGAAGCTGCCCAGATGGAGTCAGCAGACACCCACCGGCTCTGCCGTGCTGGACCCCATGCTACACCCCGGGGTGTGGCACTCATGAAGACCCTCCCTCCCCAGATGTTACTTTAGGGATAAGCAACAGGCAATTTCATAATAATGTCTTATATGCATCAAGCATTTTCTGTATAAAGCATTTGTATAAATACACATGTATACACTTGTGAACATAAACACGCATTTTATGTTCAATAACGCACAGTACAGAGACACTGTGGGGGAAAAGCAAATGCACAGCATAGGGCTGGGGAAAGAGCACTTACAACCAGGTCAGGGAAGGCTGGCTGCATGGGGACATGTGAAAGGCTCTCAGTGACAGAAAGGAACACACTCCAGAGCATGCAGCCAGGTCAGCCAGGTGTGCTGGAGGAACAGAGAAGACGAGGGCAGAGGCCTGGCAGGAGGCCAGGTCGTGCGGGGCTCTGGGGCACTTCAAAACTTCCGCTCTTATTCTGGGAAGATTCTGTTTTCCCTTTGACTTAGGGTCTTACTGTGTAGCCACCCAGGCTGGACGCAAACTGGTGACCCTTCTGCCTCAGCCTGCCAAGTACTAGGATTACAGGCTTTTACTGCCACACCCAGCTACCCTTAGAAGAGTCTGAACAAAGGCTGGCATAATGTGACGCACGTATTTACCTGTTCACTTATTTTTGAGATGGTATCTCCTATCTTACCCAGGCTAGTCTCAAGGACCACTCAAGTGACTTTCACATCTTTGCCTGAGACGCTGGGACTTGAGGCCAGTGCCACCAAGACAACTGCTGACTTCATCAAGATGGCCATATTGAGAACGTGCCCCAAGAGTGAAGGCTGAGGGAGGGAAACCAGTTAAGAGCCACTGAAATAAGCCTGCAATGGAGATGCTAAGAAAGCAGGCAAGGCTTGGGGTGAAGCGCAGGGTACTATGCCTGCCTGGCGTGGGCGAGGCCCTGGGTCTGATCCCCAGCAAGGGGTTAGGGTACGGTTTGCTGAAGGGTTGCTACAGGATGTTCACTGTGAAACAGTGCTGCAGGGGCAGGGGTCCTGAGGGAGCACAAATTAGTATAGTTTGGCCACACTAATCTCCAAACGGAGGCTAGCTCAGTAGAATAGGCATTTGCCTGGCAAGTACAAGGTCCTGAGTTGAATCCCCAGTACTGCAAACAAACAAAAAAACAGAATCTCTAAACGAAACTAAATGAGCAATTAATACACCAGTGATGAGCTGAGAGATTTAAGTCAGCGATCTCTCCACAAGACCTGCTACTGATGAATACATCCAGGGGTAGGCAGAGAGACTGCCAGTTGTTGCTGGGCCCTGGCTTGGTAATAACTGAGTGGTTGGTGGAGCCACTGACTGTAGTAGGGAACACAGAAGGCTGACCAGGCTGGGGTGCAAGAAGATGGGCCTTTCCAGCACACTGGTTCTGAGGGGAGCGCAGATCTGCGGTCGGGAGAGGTGATCTAGACTGGAGTCTGTGGCTGGGGAGAGCCCAGGAGGAGGGACAGACAATGACAGGAGGATGCAGTCCTGTCAGGACCGACCCTACTGCTCTGCTGGGAGCTGCTGAGCTGAGAGGTTAGCAGAAAACCAGAAGCATAAAATGCAACCTGCGGGGCCAGGGAGATAGCTCAGTGGAATAAGTGCTTGCCTAGCAAGTGCAAGGACCTGAGTTCAATCCCCAGTTCTGCAAAAAAAAAAAAAAAAAAAAAAAAAATACAGCCTGAGTAAGAACATTGAGGTGGATTGTCCTGCAGGTCACTGGTGGGGTGGCCAGAAAAGATCCTACAACCTTCTCTCTTCTCCAAGTTAAACTTCTGTTTCCTTTGTTTTTGTTGTTTCAAAGCACAGTCTCTATGTAGTTCAGGCTGAAAGTAATCCAGGCTGGCCTTGAACTTGAAGCCATCTTTCTGCCTCAGCATTCCCAGTGCTGGGATTAAAGCCATGTATGTCAAGCCTGGTTTAAACCCTTTTCTTAAAAATAAATAAATAGGGCCGGGGAGATGGCTCAGTAGAAGTGCTTCCCTAGCAAGCACAAGGGCCCGAGTTCAATCCCCGGTTCCGTAAAAGAAAAAAAAAATCCCTCTCATTAAAAGTAAATATGCGACATGGCCGAGCTCCGGAGCTAGGGGAGCTGAGGAGGAGGCCCAGCCGCCCGAGGCCGAGCACCCCAGGGAGAGCCAGCGAGCCGCCGTTGGCGCCCCCATTGGCGCCCAGTGACCGTCGGGGACCACAGACACACCCCAGGAACCGGTGGCGGCGTGTGCGTGTGGCCCGTGTGCGGGCGGTGGCGCGGGAGGAGCGCAGAGCGGCAGCCGGTTCGGTCGGGTGGCATCATGGACGAGAAGGTGTTCACCGAGGAGCTGGACCAGTGGATGGAGCAGCTGAATGAGTGCAAGCAGCTGTCCGAATCTCAGGTCAGGAGCCTGTGCGAGAAGGCTAAAGAAATCCTGACAGAAGAATCCAACGTGCAAGAGGTTCAATGTCCAGTTACTGTCTGTGGAGATGTACATGGGCAATTTCATGATCTCATGGAACTGTTTAGAATTGGTGGCAAATCACCAGATACAAATTACTTGTTTATGGGAGATTATGTTGTCCGAGGATATTATTCAGTTGAAACAGTTACACTGCTTGTAGCTCTTCAGGTTCGTTACCGTGAACGCATGGAATCATGAGAGCAGACGTTACACAAGTTTATGGTTTCTATGATGAGTGCTTACGAAAATATGGAAATGCAAATGTTTGGAAATATTTTACAGATCTTTTTGATTATCTTCCTCTCACCGCCTTGGTGGATGGGCAGATCTTCTGTCTACATGGTGGCCTCTCTCCATCCATAGATACACTGGATCACATCAGAGCACTTGATCGCCTACAAGAAGTTCCCCATGAGGGTCCAATGTGTGATTTGCTGTGGTCAGATCCAGATGATCGCGGTGGATGGGGTATATCTCCTCGGGGAGCTGGTTACACCTTTGGCCAAGATATATCTGAGACATTTAATCATGCCAATGGCCTCACGTTGGTGTCTAGAGCTCACCAGCTGGTGATGGAGGGCTATAACTGGTGCCATGACCGGAATGTAGTAACAGTTTTCAGTGCTCCAAACTATTGTTATCGTTGTGGTAACCAAGCTGCAAGCATGGAACTTGATGATACTCTAAAATATTCTTTCTTGCAGTTTGACCCAGCACCTCGTAGAGGGGAGCCACATGTCACTCGTTGTACCCCAGACTACTTCCTGTAATGACAATTTAAACTTGTACAGTATTGCCATGAACCATTTATTGATCTAATGGAAATGGGAAGAGCAACAGTAACTCCAGAGTGTCAGAAAATAGTTAACATTAAAAAAACTTGTTTTCACACGGACCAAAAGATGTGCCATATAAAAATACAAAGCCTCTTGTCATCAACAGCCGTGACCACTTTAGAATGAACCAGTTCATTGCATGCTGAAGCGACACTGTTGGTCAAGAAACCAGTTTCTGGCATAGCGCTATTTGTAGTTACTTTTTGCTTTCTCTGAGAGACTGCAGATAATAAGATGTAAACATTAACACCTCGTGAATACAATTTAACTTCCATTTAGCTATAGCTTTACACAGCATGACTGTAGATAAGGGTAGCAGCAAACAATCATTGGCGCTTAATGAAGATTTTTAAAAATAAGTACCATGCCTCTCCTCTACTTGTGAGTTTTGAAATTGTTTTGTTTATTTTCAGGGATACTGTTTAATTTAATTGTATGATTTGTCTGCACTCAGTTTATTCCCTTCTCAAATCTCACCCCCATGTTGTTCTTTGTTGTCCGAACCTGGTGAGTTATTCTGAACAGAAATGTTTTCCCCCTTCCTGTAAGACGATGTTACTGCACAAGAACACTGCAGTGTTTTTCATAATAAACTTGTGAACTAAGAACTGAGAAAGTCAAATTTTAATTGTATCAGTGGGTAAGACTGCTGCTTTTTAAAGATAAATCAATTAATAAATTTTTGAATTTGTAGAACTCTAGGTAAACAAAAAATAAATACGAAGGCCACTATAAAAAAAAGTAAATATGCAAAAAAATAAATAAATAAATAAATAAATAAAAAAGTAAATAAATAAGCAACCCTTTTATTTTTTGTACTAGAGCATGAATCTGGGCCTTGTGCATGCCAGGCAAGAGCTCTGATTGAGCTACATCACCAGCTCCTTTTTTTCTTTTAGTAATTGCCCAGCCTGGACTTTACAGTCCTCCTGCCTCAGCCTCCCTAACGGGGAGGTTGCACCACCACATTTGGCTCTTTGTACCATCTTTAGAGCACATCACTGAGGCTTAGAGTGTGGAAGCCATTTCCTTCTTGCTGCCTTTCTCAGACATACATTTACTTATTCAGTGTTCTTCTGTCCAGCACATGATCTCTCCTGCAGGGAATGCACAACGCTAAAGGCACAGGCTGTCTCCTCATGGGTCAGGGGCCCAGAGTTCAAACTGGACTGAAAAGCAGGGCATAGTGGTGGACCCTTGTAATCCCAGCATTTGGGAGGCTGAGACAGAACTGCCATGGGTGCAAGGCCAGCCCATAGTGAGCTCAGGGCCAGCCTGAACTACATAGCGAGACCCTGTCTCAACCAACAAAACAGGCTGGCCAGATAGCTCAAAGGACTAAAGTGCCTGTTTATGCAGGTGCAGGGACCAGGGTTCAATCCCCAGCATGTCTGTTGGCCCTGACCCTAGGGCACACTGAGATGGTAGTTGAGACTGGGTGTGATGGCACACGTCTGTAATCCCAGCATTGGGGAGGCTGAAAACGGGAAGATCACTATGAGTCTGATCTGTATAGTGAGACCCTGTACTAAATACATTTAAATAAATAAAACAAAGTCTACTGGATTGAATCTCAGTTTACCATTTACAATAGTCTCTAATGTCCTGAAGTTCCTCTAATGTGCCCTCAGGACACAGCTCCCCACCTAGGCTGCATATACAGCTGCCTTTCAACGTTTCCACTGTGATGGCTGAGCCCACTCAACCTCACGTAAAAAGCCCTGCTACCACACCCAAATCCTCTTTCTTAGGAGATGGCACTGCCATCCAGCTTCATGTTGATGCCCAAGTCCTAGGGATCATTTTACTTTTACTTGGAGACAGTAACATATATCTATATAGTTCAGGCTGGCCTTGAACTCACCGTATAGCCCAGGCTGACCTCAAATGGTGATCCTGCCTTAGCCTCCCAAGTGCTGAGATTATAGGTGTGTACCACCATGCCCAGATACCTAGGAGTCATTTTAAAGTGTTCTGTCCACCAGGCATGTTAGTGGGTGTCTATAATTCCAGCACTTGAGAGGCTGAAGCAGGAAGATCATTGGGAATTTGAGACCAGCCTGGGCTTCAAAGTGAGCTCAAGGCTAGCCTGAACTGCATAGTGAGACCCCATCTCAAAAAGACAAAAATTTGTTCATTACATGTTGTATAATGTATCATACTAAACCCCATCTTTCCGGCCGAGCTGTGGTAGTGGTGGTGCAGGTTGAAGGACGTTAGCTGCTGTGTGTTTCTGGCGAGATTGAAATCATGGCAGGTCCAGAACATGATGCCCAGTTCCAGTTCACTGGCATCAAAAAGTATTTCAACTCTTACACTCTCACAGGTAGAATGAATGTAAGTATGAATGATACCTTTAATATTTTATTTTGGAATAATAATAAACATGGCAATAACTTTTGTTTACATTTTTTTCAGTGTGTACTGGCCACATATGGAGGCATTGCTATGCTTATCTTGTACTTCAAGTTAAGGTCTAAAAAAACGCCAGCTGTGAAAGCAGCATAAGTGGATTTTACAGTGTCTGACCTCATCTGTTAAGTCCCATGCCTGGAGGAGCTAATATCAACTCATCATGTAATACTCAATTTGTACAATAAATTATGAACCTGGAAAAAATAAACCCCATCTTTGTACAAGATATATATAGATATAGATATATAGATATTGAGAATTAAAGATTTAAAAAATAGGTATGATTGGGACTATAACTCAGTGGTTGAGTGCTTGCCTAGTATGTGCATGGCCCAGGATTTAATCCGCCATATAAATAAATAAGTGTAGATCTGGTGGAAGCCAGGTGAATCCTAGCACTTGGGAGCCTAAAGCTGCAGGACTGTTAGTTCAAGACCAACCTAGAAAAAAGAAAAACAGCCTAGACTATACAGACCTTGCCTCAAAAGTAATAATTACAAGGGGCTGGGATGTAACAGTGCAAAGGCTCTGGGTTCAGTTCCTTGCAACTGAAGAAAAAAGGGGTGCTGGGGGTGTAGCTGAGGGGTAGAGTGCTTGGCTATCATGTGAAAAACCCTGGATTTCATTTCTAGTACTGCAAGAAAAAAGAAAAATTTAAAACATTTTGGATACATATATAAAATATATACGTGTGTATGTTTGAAATTCAGAAGGCTGTGCGCATGCTTCTTGACCCCATTCCTAGTCCTCAGTTATCTCTGCATGGACTCCCCTCTATCCTGAATCAGGTTGGTTCCACTTCTAAAATATACCAAGTCTAACCGCTCCAAGCAGCTTACGTGCAAACGCCCCATCCGGGCCCTGCACAGCTGTGCTCCGCCCAGAACATACCTGCTCCCCTCCAGCCCTCTCCTTCCTTCAGCCAGCGGCGCTCTTCAGGCCGTCACCTGCCTGGCTCCTTGCGCGCGTTCAGCTCTCAGTTCACACCCACTTTTTCAGGGCGCCTTTATGTGTGCCTACGCACACCGAGCTACCAGTACGTTTTACTTCAATACATGATCCCGTGTCTTCCAGGGATCCTAGGGCCTGTCTTTCAGGGTCCAGAAAAATGCCGGGCAGAAGAAATCTTGTTACTCTGTGTATTTGTAGGGAACAGACTCGCTTCTCTAAGCCTCAGTCTCCTTACTAACAGGAGGGGTCATGCCTACTCCCTACTTTGCTCGGCAGTTCTCAACATGAGAAGTGTGAGGAAAGTATTGTGACCACGGAAACTGCTGGGACGCATGAACACTAGTTGACAGAACCTCCTCGCCTCTCTAAAGAGCGAGGAGCAGAGGCCGGGGAAGACACGGTCGCACGACCTAGGCGCGGTACCGCTCTTTCGGGAAGCGCTGCGCCACAGTCAAGGTAGCGAAATTAGTGCCAGTCACGTGTGCGTCTCGGGACGGCCACGCCCCAGGGAGGCGGAGCCTCGCTGGACCTATAGCGCGGGCGTCCTCCGCGGCGGCCCACTCCCGGCGCGGAAAGGGGCGGGGCCGGGCGGCCGCACGGCACTTCCGGACAGCGCGCCCCGCCCCGCCCCGTCCCTTCGCGGGCCGGGTGGGCAGAGCCCTCGGGTGCAGACTAAAAGCCTCGCCGGCCGCCGCTCCCCCGTCCCCTCCCCCCCTCGTCAGCCCGCCCCTTCCCGAGTAGCGGGCCAGCCTCGAGGTGGGGGCCGCCCCCCGCTCGCCCCAGGCCGGGGGACCGGCTCTTCGTAGCCTCCGTGCCCGGCCTCCGCCCCGCGCCGAGCCCATTGTGTCCTCCTGTGCGCCCCGCCGCTGGTCCCGAGGGCCGCGGCCTTCCCCGCACGCCGGCCCTCCTGAGGGGCGGTGGGCCGGCCCAGCGCGCGCCGAGGCGGGCAAGGCGGCAGCACGCTGCTCGGCGAGCCGGTCATTTTTATTATCGAGATCATTATTAAAAGGGGGCGGGACCCCAGGATGCAGGGACGGAAGGGGGCCAGAGACACAGCTGCTCTATTAAACAGACTATTCCGAAATAACCCTAACACGCGCAAGATGGCTGAAGCGCGGTGCTGCGCGCTGGGGCTGGGAGGGCGCTTCCTTTTTCTCCCCAGCTGAGGACGCGGCTCTGAGCGCCGCGCCGCGGAGACCCTGCCGGCCCCCCCAGCTGCGGCGGACGCGCGGACCCGCCCCGGACGCGCCGCCAGGGCAGCAGCCGGGACGCGGCGCTCGCCTCCGCGACTCCGTCCAGTTCTCATCTTTTTTTATTTTTTGGAAAGGACCGGGTGGGTGGAGCAGAGGTGGAGAGAAATCAAGACTTGGCATTTTCTCCCCTCGTCCTCTCCTAATTTGCCGGAGGCCGCTAGGCCTCATCTAGGAAAAAGGAAAAAATCCCACCGAAAAAAAAGAAAGAGGAGCCTGCAGGACCCTCAGCGCACGCAGGAAGCCCGGATCCGGACCTCCGCGGTGCTCCGCGCCGCCGCCGCCAGGCGCCCAAGATGGCTGGGCGCTGAGGG